TATTTCTGATGGAGGAAAATGGTCACAGGACTTACATCCTTAATTTTCTTCTCAATGCCCTTCACTTTGACATATTCCTTGGGAAGATGCTCTTTTACACTGAAAAATTAGAAAAACTAACCAACTTTTTTCGTGAACAAAAAAAGTAAGCAGTCGCTTGACTTCTAAGCTAACACGCTATTGCATTGAGAAAATATAATTGATAATGTTAGAAAAGAATTTGAAAGACGAATCAATTTAACCACAAGCATGGAACCATGAGGCTAGTAAAGAAAAGAGTAGCTAAACATTAATAACACACTCGATACAAAGCGATTTAGCCTTTTCAGGAATAAAGTTTCCCATTTCAGCTTGGCACTGAAGTCCGGCCAGTTCAATGGCTTGACTGAGACTGATAGGATGAGCACCATTAAGGATGGCCTCTTTGAGCTGCCCAGAGTGAAAACCATTAAATGTAGTGATGCCTTTAAAAATGAAGAAAACCCATAAAGGAGGCGCAAGGCACCTGAATGAAAAGTAGATTGAGTTGGACAGGATCCCTAGCTCCGATGTTCTGGTCGGAGAAGAAATATTTGCGCTGAAGGAGAAGGTTATCCGTTTCTTCAATGCCCAGTTGTCTGAATGTCTTGGCGTGAGGAAGCCAATTAGCTGAGAGTAAAACAAAGCATTAGAATTCATTAAGTTGAGCAAAACGCATTGTTATAATGACATCCCCACCTCCATCATCAGTCTGTAATTTATGCTTCAACGTTTCTAACTTGTCGTAATCCCTTGCAGCATTTTTTGGACGTCGTAGGGTCTGTGTACGACCCTTTTCATGAATTAAAGAGTATTCCTCATGATTAGTAATGCCTACAAAAGGAATAGTTTCATCAAAGTCATTAGACAAAAATCAAAACAATTTAAAAAACAAATGCTAAAAAAAGTTTCGCCAACTTCCATTCTCTAAATTGCTTCTATGCTACAAATTTTTATGAATCCTGCAGTATCCAAAGGCAAACTAATTACATCTCAAGATTACGATTTCGAGAAAGAAAGATATTTACCCATTTTGCCACATATTGTTACCATCAGATCAGCAATAGTTTTACTGTCATCAACCTGAAGCGTCTTCCGCGTCCCGTCTAAAGTGCTCACTACGAGCCGTCGCAACTTCGACATGTATGTAACTTCCGCCTGTAGTCAGCTGAATAAAATTAAACCTGACAATCATACCCCATCCTGCAAATGATAATATGAAAGAAGTCTGGAGCTTTCCAACCAAAAAGAGTGCTTTGGGTCAGGATCACTGATAAAAATTCCATATTCTTCAAGAAGTAAAATTTACTAATGCAAAATTACCTGGACCATGACCTGCATTTTTTATACTGGACTGAATGTGTCGACAGAGATCAAACACTGTTATATCAACAGGCGTTTTGAAAATAACATGCTTGTTTAGATTGGCAACGACCAGATCCAGTGCAACCACCGCCATCGAATAGCATACGTTCACTGCGAACGCCTTTCAAATAGCGCTTTGCAGAGTCTAGGTTAAACAAATTCTACAAGCTAATTAAAACGAAAAAAATGTAATAAACAAGGAAGAATGACATTCAGTCGGAAAATCTTCCTGACAATAATGATTAGACAAATTTGCTTACAAGTTGGCAGAAGAACGACTACTTACAAAAGAGGTAAACAAAATTAGTATTTTAGAAAAAATAAGCCTATATTTAAATATTGCATACCTAGATAATAAATAAATTGAAAAAAAGGAGAAGAAAATTTATAGGATTGAAAGTTACAGGGCTTTGGCCAACTTTAAATAAATTGTCAGTAGGGAAGTCGATAGGTGCATCGACCCATAATCCATTCCATAACAATTATCCCTTTGCACTGTAGAGTTCCTAGACTTCTAAGCCAGTAATAAGAAGTCAATTAATGCAGCTGGATACATACATTCCGCAGACGACGGGGCAAATGTCCTGGGTGTGGCCCGAAGTCTAGCCCACATGAAAATGGCCTATCAAACACTAAACTGACAGCCAAACGTCATGGCGTCACGTAAACAATGTATTACATTACCGTCTCTTCTTTTGAGCGGCGTCCTCGTTCGCTCGTCTTGGTGCACCTGCCCGCAAAACGCATCGAAATATATTTGGTACTAACAGAAAGCCCCACGAGCAAACCGCGCCACTTTGCAGGTAGCATGAGGTTGAGTTACTCTACCTGGTCACCTCGGCAGATTCAACGGGAACTGCAGTTACATACGGTCTGACAATCAC